CATCCATCCATCCATCCATCCATTGCAGCAATCCATCCCCTTCCAACAAAGCCTGATTAAATCCTTCATCCTGAAACACCAATGAAATCCAGGTCCTGGAACACCCACAAGGCGGTTCCAGGCACACAAGGAGGTCAAACTGCCCAGGAGAAAGTCCAGGAACCCCAATTCCTCGTCTTCCCTGTCATCTGTGAGACCAAACATCATTTGATGGTGCTCCAGAGGCTGAGGAGAGGAGAAAGCTCCTCACACAGAGCAGTCCCACGGGGTCTCAGCCCAGCTGACCCAATTTGGTGCCCCGCAGAGCTTCCACCATTCCCACCAGTGACTTACAAAGTGGCAGCCAGCTCGGAGCAGCGACAGCCCTGATTTATTCCAAAACCATCCTATTTAACGCTGCCACTTCTCTTTTCCATGCCAACATGCACACTCTCAGGAAACAGACACATTTCCATGCTCTCAGCTGGGAATCATGTTCCTGCAAGGCTGGTGGATGATGCACAAACTGTCTCTATTTGTGTCCCCCCTTTCAGATGGCAGGGTGCCCACCCAACAAGCTGATTATCTCTTGCCCTGGGCTATCAAGGCAAGGCAATGGTATGTTTAGATCAGCAAACTGCATAACAATATAAATGTCATCTATTCCACGAGAAGCTTTGGCAGGATTTTTCATCTCGCCCCTCTTTGCGGGGATGTGCCAAAAAGAAACACTAAGACTTGCAGGAGGAGAGGCGGGGACGGGGTTTCCACCCCTTCCTGCTTGCCAAAACACGTTGTGCAGCACTGGGTGTCTCGTTATCATCCCCCTGGACCATCCCAAGGTGTCAGATGATCCATGAACACCCCTGATACAGATATAAATACACAGAGGGAGCTCCTTTTTCTGTCCAGCCAGGCTCACAGGCGGAAATGAGGCACAAGCAGCGCGGCTGGCACAGCTCAGGACATGGTCTGTACCCCTGCCCGGAGAGGATGGCACAGCCCGAGGAGAACAGCCCTGGGTGGGCACTGCCTGGCCAACAGCTCTGCTGCCAGGGCAGGGCTGCAGCAATGCCCAGCAGCTCCAGTGGGAAATGGGCTCGGGACACTGGGATTGGGACACTGGGACTGGGACACTGCAGCTCCAGAGGAGAATGGGCTTG